ATAAATTAATGTCTTCCAACAATCCAGTTTATATAGAAACTATTAGACAACTCAAATTGCTCTCAAATTAGTAACTCTCCAAAGAACTATAGACTCTCAAGGCCTCAAAGCTTTCCTAAAACTCTCTGAGTAGCCCTCATAGCAGCTCTAAAATTCTCTCAAAACAATGTTAAAACTCACTTAGTCCCTTAGTTGTTGTCTAAACTATGTCTACCTATGGGACTCCTTGATCTGCTGGCTATGTGCACATGCAAACAAGCAAACAAAAGTGAGCACAAAATAACAAAGTAAAACACATATAACTATAGCAAAAAGAGAACTACAAGAACAAGAACAAACAACAAAGTATACTACTGAAAGCAAAGTAATGAACTATTGTAGTGGAAAAAAAACTATGAGCATAAAACAACAAAACACTGACACCGGTGTGAAAATCCAGAAGTGTGTAAAACTATAAACCCTTATGCTGGCAACTTTCAAATGAAAGCCGTAAGTCCAGTCTTTAGGGGTAATAAATAGGAAGCAACCTAATCCTAAACCCCTCATTGGGCATCTTATTAGCCTATAGGACTAAGTTGTAAGACCCGTCATTTGAGTTACTTCTAAGTGAAGCAGTAAGACCCGCGTGTTAGGAAACTTCTAAGTGAATGACCCTAGACCAAAAACTCAAAACCACATGGGCCTCTTAGTTTATAAAACTAAGTTGTAAGACCTGCCACTTGGGTTACTTCTAAGTGAAGCAATAAGACCCGCACGTTAGGTAACTTCTAAATAAACGACCCTATATCCAAATAATTAAACCCCTTCGGGCCACTTAGCTTATAGGGCTAAGTCATAAGACTCGTCCTTAGATAATTTCTAAGGAAGCCATCAAACCTATCCAACCAAAAATCTTTGGGTCACCTCCAATAGAGGTCGTAAGACCCACTATTAAGGCTACTTTAAAAATGAAAGTCATAAGTCCCTAACCAAATCTAATCACACGGGCAACTCCTAATTGGAGCCGTAAGCCCAAAACCAAAAAAATTAACGGGCAACTCCTAATTGGAGTCGTAAGCCCCAAACGAAATAAATTAACGGGCAACTTCTAACTGAAGCCGTATGTCCCAAACTAAACAAATTAACGGGCAACTTCTAAGGAAGTCATAAGCACTAACCCAAATTAAATTAAAATAAAATCCACACATATCCACTTCAGTCTACTCGAGATTCCTGATAGGAGGCAACCCATGATTGCTAATCAGATTACTTGGACACCACAATCAATGGTTGTCAGTGTTGGTAGACTGAACCCACGGTATACCCGGGATGACGGAATCATGGGATCTTGATTCGGTGTACCTTCACCCCCCCCATAACTAAGTCTAAGACTCTATTGCATATTCTTACACTCTTTGCATGAAGTTAAGTATATTTCATCTTTAATGTTGAGTGCTCTTCTAATGCGTTAGGAGCGATAATTAACTATAAGGGCTTGCGCTCATAGGAAGTAGAACCTAGATCTAAATAAACTCTGACACTGCTCTCATGAGAAATCTAATTAAATATTAAACTTAATCTACCTCCGGAAAAATTAAAGAGAATTCTAAGTTCGTGAGACCGGGATTCGCATCCTGTTTGTGAAAAAGATTTTTCCAGAGCGAACGACAAAGTGCTATTTGGAATTCTCAAAACACTGTTTGGTCTTTCCTGGGTGTTGTTTATGCTATTTGGAATTCCCATCGATCTACGACTACGATCACACCACTTTATTTGAGTTATTAGTTGTATTGGATTTATTGTTGTTTATTTTCCGATTTTACCCTCACTTGAGGGAGTAGGTGCTTGTGATCCCAAGGGGCACTTTTGTCTTTTGTTTTATTATTATACTTTGGGCTATTTATAGCCTCTTATTCTTGTGATGGTTAATGATGGTGATGAAGAAAATTTTCCTTCACTTTGTTTGTGAGTTGTGAGAGTTCTTGAGAGAGCTTGCTTAAAGTCCCTAGGTGAGGGCAACGGAATACCCACTAGCCGCAGGAAACGTCCGGGCTCGTGGTCTTCTTCCTTCTCTTCTCTAACCGGCCTCCCTCCCTACCCCTATCTTACTCGGCCGAAAACCCCCACCTCCTCTTACCCTAGGCCGGCCACCTTCCCCGTCCATCCTCCAAGCCGCCGGCAACCATCTTCCCCTCTCCCATTGGATCAACACCCAAATCCCTGGCCGCCTACCTCTCCATCCACTCTACAAGCCGCTGCCCCCACCTTCCCCTTTCCTTGGCTGAAATCCCTCCCCCATAGTCCAAGCCCTAGCCGCCGGCCACTCCCCCTTTCCTCCTTCCCTCCAGTTCCAAACCAAGCAATTTTGACTTTCCTTATAGGTAACATCTTATTAGGAAAGCTTAATTCAGATTTCCATTCAATTAAATCTGAATTTAAAAGGGGGATTTGACTTAAATCCTCTTTCCAAACATAAGTTGCTTGAATTGGCAAGCAATTAAGTCTCCCTAATTCTTCCCTCCTCTCATAGTCGTTGCCCCTTCCCTCCTTTCCTAAACTAAAATCCCAAATCTAGCAACTAATAATTTTCCCTCCAATTAAATCCCCAATCAAGCCTATCAAGGGCTGCTGCCCCCTCCTATCTCTCCAATTGGTTTATGATTTAATTAGCATTCCACATAGACAAGGAAATTAATTCCAGATTTCCTCGCACTGTTGTCCACATACTTTCCCACAATAATCACCTAATTCCCTTCCCCCCAGATAGCTGTCCAGATTTTTGGCCAAGTTAAGTGTGCTGTCCAGAAATTCAGCGACTCCCCTTGCTGTCCTTCTGTCCGAAAAAGGTTTCCGCTTGCTGTCTAGAGGTTCTAGAACCTTGTAGTTGTTGTTCTCTCATGTATGGCTGATCCAGAACTTGATCATGGCTTCGTTTACAACGATCAAGGGCAAGTTGACATCCTCAAATCTCTGTTTTTTGACATTAACTTGGAGATCGACAACACCGTTGAAGATTACATCGAAAGGATTATGTTCTCCCGCGCCGCCGCTATCAACGAACAACTTTCTCCCATTCAGTGACGACTCGTTTCCAAAGCTTGATAACTGTGAACCTCTTCCCCAAGTATTTGCCTTTCTTAGTTCCCCTAAAATTGTGGCATCATAAAAGTTGTGCAATCTTTCTCCGTTTATTCTACAACAAGAGTGTGAAGGAGTGGATCCAATTAGTAACTAATCTATATGTTAACATAGGGATTTCCTTTGAACTCCTCAATGTTTAAAATTGCGTATTCGGATATTGAGGCGTTTTTCATTTGTGAGGCGAGGCGTAAGCCTCAAGACATTTTGAGGCGTAAGCCTCAGAATCAAAAGATTGCGTAAACATAAAATGATAAATTTTTTATATACTAATGCGTGAATAATATAAAACATAAAAAAGCATAAGATATGAAGTGAAATCAAAATATCTCAATAATAAGACAACATGAAATATAGTTCAACTCAAAATTCTATCTTTCCCAAATCCCAGTATTCTTTTCATTAACATATAATTCCAATTTCCAAAAATAAATAGCAATAACATATCACATAAGAACTCATAAGTCATCAGCACTATCATCACTAAGGGGTTCTTCATTTGAATCATCATTATGGTGAACTGTTCTCTCCCCTTCCTCCTCCCCTATAGAGTCCAATGTCGGGTATTTACTTCAAGATTTATGTAAGTTTTAATATATATAGCGTGAGGTGTAAGCCTCATGCTAGTGAGGCGAGGTGGGCCTCAATCAAGTTAAGGTGCAAGCCTCATAAAAAAAAAAACTCGAGGCGTTTTTTAGTTTTTTACTGGAATTGCGCAAAGGCGGGCCTCAAGGAGAGCCTCATATTGCGCAATTTCAAACCATGGAACTCCTCCATACTTGACTAATTGTGATTGAAACTGATTATTCATTATTCTAACTTCTATCTTGCAATTTGGCCTAAGCTTAAATCACCTCTCTCTTGTTTCAAGATTTTGTTTAAGTTGCTGAAGTAAACTTAATTATTCTTGCTCTAATTTAGAAGGTGTTTATTTTAACATTACATAATTACCCACGCATTTAGTTCTACGTCAGATTTCTTTTGGCGGCTTAGTTTTCATAGCCATCTCGTTGTTGATCACATGCATGAAGAGCCCCCCTATAAGATTAATGCAAAGAGACGAAGCTGTATTGAAAAACCATGAGGAATGTGAGAGATTACTATGAAACAATATGGAGAAGAACGTGGCTGCAATGTACAATTCAATCTATGGAGAAAGTTCCTCTGGGTGTGGAAGCTTTGATGGTGCTTTCACGACTGTGAGTGGGTCGAGATCAACAGGGATCATGGATTTAAGATCCAGATCTACATGGATCAGCGCAACCTGCTCTTCCCCTTCATTTTTTTCTGCAAGCTTTCAAGCAGGATCTCGGACAGATCTGTGCTTTACTAGTGAACACATTTGCCCTTCGGCAAAATCTCAAGAACAACTTGACATAGAGGGAGTACGCACGCAATGCTTCAACTGTAGGAAAATAGCTAGGGCGCTGTCTCGAGAAAACCTGCTCTAATTTTTGTAATTCTTCATTTTAAAGTTATTTATTAATCCACATAAGTCACCAACATTTTTTTCTGGACACATGAAAAGCATCAATGATTCATTTTTCCCCTTTACTCCTCTCTTGCAACTCACAAGTCACAACCTCGAGCTCGGCTTTGTTTTCCCTTTCGCTCCTCTCTCGCCCACAAACAAAGACTGTCCGTGACAAATGTTTGTCTGCTAAGCTCTAAGGATTATGTTATTTTCCTTTTTAAATTTCATCTTACAGCTCCTCTTGGCTCCAGTAATGAGACGGCAAACGGAACTTTTTTTATATTCTCTAACCTTCCAAATGAGATTGCAAACATAACTATTTCAATTTAGGCTTCCACTGAATAAAATTTATGGCTCCGCCACATGATTAAGATATTCATTCTACTTCTTTCCTGTGTTTTCCTTGCAGCTTGAGAATGTACAATTCACTTGTGGAGAGATGTTTTAATGACTGTGTGGACAGTTTTCGTCGCAAAACTCTCGACAAGCAAGAAGAAACTTGTGTTCGCCGATGCGCTGAGAAATTTTTGAAGCATTCCATGAGGGTTGGAATGAGATTTGCTGAACTCAATCAGGGAGCTGCAACACAAGATTAAATATAATTGCATCTTGAATGATTGGGTCTGTTATTTTTGCTGAATCTATTCTGCTTGGACACATTAATGGTTCATTTGTAGCAACTTTGTGTTATTATGAGGGCTTCTTCTTTGGTTTAGAAGAAAGGAATTATATTTTTTTATGGATGAATGTCATAGTTATTGAAATTTTGTCTTTGAATATCTCAAAGAAATTTCTGAATGATTTCGTTCACTCTTTTCCATCTTGTTTAGTTGAATTTGAATCTAAGTTATTGATGCTTTGTGGGATCAATACAAGCTTAGCAAAATTGAAAATTTTACGAGCATTGGCTTGAATGTTTCCGTTGATAGGTTCCCTAAAGAAATTTATAACAAGTGGTTAATAGCTTTTATAACAGTGATTTTGGATAAAAACACTTTTGTGAACTTCATTTTCTATGAAGAATTTATGAAAATTTCTTCAAGGATTGTTGTATTCTCAATGTCACGAGAGATTATTACGTGCGAAGATCGGATAGAGAGAATTATTCGTTTTTATTTCTGTGAATAGTAAAAGTATGATAAATTATACTTTTGTTGTTCATATAGATAATTCGGATGGTTTTCTGTGTCTGTTTTCTGCACGTCATAATTTATCCAATGATGATCAACTTGATCAAAATCTCCAAATTGATATTTTATCAACTTGAAAAGTCCTGTTGTCTGCTGCCTAAGACTTCGTTTGGGACAGCTGTCTTCCTGCTTTAAGAAGCAGGAAGAAAGCCGTCCCAAACGAAGTCTAAGTCAGACCAAACTACCCGTTTAATCACTGACAGCATAACACTTCGGTGTTAGATTAATTCATTGAAAGAAAGATATTTTCTTGTTAAACTCATAAATGTGAATGTCATAAATCATTTATCTAATTATCTAAAAATTTATTGTGCTGTTTTTTTAGCGAAAAAACTTTAAAATAACTCACAGATTATTCATGTAATGTTAATTTAATCACAGAGTATTATATTGACCTAATATAATTTATCCATTATATAAAATTGATCAAAAATAATCTCTTATATTATAATTGTGTAATTACAATAACATCAAGCCTTTGTCCCACTATATGGAGTCGGGTACATAAATCCTTTTTTGCCATTGTGTCCGGATAATTGTGTAATTGTAGTATAAAGTTGATCTTAATTTAGTTCAAAATAGATCATTTTATATTAATTTTGTACATTCAAGAGACTAAATTAAAGTAACATTTTATGATTAAAAAGATCATATATGATAAGTTGGAGGATTATTTTGAAAATTTACCCTTTTTTTAGCACTGTAGAGTACCTTTCTGGATAAAATAGATTAAGTTTATATATATATTTGTTTGATGAAAAAAATATTGAAAAATGAAAATAAATATGCTAATTGATAGGTTTTGAATATGCTAAAATGACTTAGCTAGCCCTGCTTGACCTGATTCAAACAGGGCATTGGGCTGAGATTTTCAACCGATCTGGTGGGCTGGATAGGGCTTGATTTTGGTTAAATGATATGCAACCCAATTCAAATCTAGCTGAACTTGCCTTGAGCTGCCCAATTGTGGACTCTTGGATGATTAGTGATAGTATTAGGAGGGTCTTGTCATAAATAAAAATCTTTAAAAATAGAGTTAGGATAGAAGTCACCCAAAATGATCAGATTAATTTTCGAAACTAGAGTGACGGACAAAAAAAATCCCAAAATCCCTTATCTTCTCTCTCTCTCTCTCTCTCCGGCAAGCCAAACGAGGGGAGGAAATAGCCGAGTGGAGAAAATTTATATTAAAAAAACACAATTCAGTGCCCAGCGTCGCAATGCTCTGGACCCAAAGCCGGAGTGCTATATGCTCAATCCAGAGTTATTGTAGAACATGGAGTTCAGGGCCGCCACGTTGAATTCCAGCACCCTAGTGTTGCTCCCCTTTGCACCATTGTGCTTGAAAGCACAATACCACAACGTATAGTTCAGAACTTTAAGATTTTTTTAAATAAATTTATTTTAAGACCTAGGGTTATTTTAATTTGAGTACAGTTTGTCAAGAAAAATTTGGCTGTGAAAACTTCTCGTAGCCATTAAGGCCTCCACATGATATAAAATCATAAGTTATTCATAACTTTGGCCTAATCTGATGAAGTAAAATTTTTTTCCTTTAAAATTATAGAGTTTTATCCTCATTTTTCACTAGTCCTAAACTTGATCTTGACTCCTTCAAAATTATTATGCCTTGCACTTATATTTGATTCATGAATAATCAACGGAATTAGCTTGCTTTCTTTGAGAAGTAAAAATTCATACTAAAATATTTGCTATTTGTTAATATTTTTTATTGCAATGAATATGAAAGCACCCTAAACCTTATAGTTTATCAACTCATTTATACTTATAACATTGAGTGTTTATAGATGGTGTCTTCTACTCATTAATAAAATAACATTGTTGTCATAGCACTATTGGATGTCAGGGAATGGCTTGACCTAACCATGGCTTGAGTGGGTTATAGGGTCAACCTAAGGTCAAATTCATTTGATCATTTTTTTTTAATTAGGTGAAGGCATGATCCAATGCAACCATTATCGATAAAAATGAAGAATATTTTAGGAGGATTATAGATAAAGATTGGATTACGCTATTCAAAATGTATAAATGAAAACCAGTTTTCTTTAAATTTTTCATACTTTGACCTCTATGCATTTGGTTATAGAAAATTTTGAACCTTTGACTACTTCTAGAGCTACCAAATTACCTCCATGGTCCCAACAGATGTAAGATGTTTCCCTTCACCAACATTGGATACCCCTTGATTGATACTTCTTGACTTCATGATCGAACAATATCTTACTCATGATATTATTCATCTATTAAATGGTGTCTCTTAACTTTGTGATCAAGATTCCACCAAATGCGAGCTATTACCCTTCATTACACTAAGCATCTATAGGCCAACATTAGTAGACTTCACAGTCAACCACATAAATTAACATCTTTCTCTTGATGCCAACTATCACACTTTGCTAATATCAAATATTTGTGATTGATATATTCTAACTTAATGTACAATAAACATTCACTGATAGCTAAATCTTGACATTAGTCATCACCTTTTACTAGTGTCATTGATAAATGCCTTGTATCCTTCATTGATGTTTATAGCCTTTAACAAAAACTACTACCACCTTAGGAGAGAATTTTGAATCATTCAAATTCTTCATATTGTATACTCTCCTTTTGCATTTAAGGGGAAGATCAAGCTTGTGTAATTTTTAACTTAAGCAAATAGTTCTATTTCAATAGGAAGCGCCTCATGATATTTTACCCTTTGAGTTTTTCACATAAAAATATGCTTGCAACTTTTTTATTCATAGAAGCGTGAGATCTTTTTAAAGTTGAAACGTAAATCTTGATGGCACAATAATTGTCACTATATATGGGAAGTAACTTCCCACGTTTAGCTCCCATATCAATCACTAGTTCATCTATAATGATAAGCAAATGAGATTTTCTTAACACTAGGTCATCTTGCTCTAATTTTGGTCAGTCAAGCAATCATTTTATTAATTAAGATATCCTAGGAATCAATAGTTGGCACTATTTGTGGGAAGAAACATCTCACTTTTGGCTCTCCCACCTACTGGCCCTATTTTGTACATATGCTTAAGTGGTTAGATGGCATTCATGAACCAACTAAGATGTAAGTCCAATCATTGCACTTTTTTTTATCACATGTGATATTATTGTAAGTGTTATATTTGATATCTTATCTATCACATGGAGGAGGTACTCGAGCTTCTTGATCTCTCACGATCAAATGTTAAGTTTCTTTTTTTTTTTCATCTTTTGTATCTTCTCTACCATATTGAGGAAATATATGGGCTTGCTAATCCCATAGGATATACTTATAAGTCCCATATTAGACATCTTATCCATTAGTCACACTGAGGGGATGCTTTTCTTTTCTTATTAGCCTTAGAGCGTAAGTTCCTCTATGAGATTATTACAATTTCACTCACATTCTTCTTATAATTGGATACTTAAACGTAACAATCATACACATGCCACACTTTACATCACATGATAGTTTTATTGAAAGTGGATCCAAATATATTTTGGGCTCCAAATAAACAATATGATTTTATTTTATAGGATTGTCTTCATAGCGTTACATGTAATGATATGTTATATTTATACAATAGATGCTCGTAGCACATGACAAGAGATATTTCAAAAGGTTGTAGTACTATAAACAAAGGTGGTGATTTTGCTAATACTTGAGTAAATTTTTTAGCAAATAAAAGTTAAATATTTGGTTACTTTAGAAGATTTTTGCAAAATATACACAAAGAGAATGAGGATATCTGATTTTTCATTCTCAAATTAATTATATTGGAGAATCTAAGAATAAATTATTTGAAGATTATTGTGATGAAAATAAATGATATATATATAATTAGAAAGATTTTGTTAACTAAGAAGAAAATTTGAAATGCTTGATTCTAATATTTAATTATTTGGCTATATGGTTAATTCATATATAATATAGTTATTTTCTCTATTATTTGGTAATTATTTTCTATATTTACAAAAGGCTGAGAGATATATAATTTTGATTTTATGTTTATATCATATGCATATTTAGGAGGATATTTAATTACATAATTTAGGAGAAGTATAAGTTAAATATTTTATTTTTATAATGCCACTGTTAGAATTTTAATCAAAAAGGGAAAGTTGCCTTTTTACACTTTAGTTAATGTAATGATAATAAATACATGATTGGAGAAATCAGTATTTTAAAGTAGGTTATTATAGGATTGATAGGAAGAAAGGATCAAGATAGTGAAATTGATTGAATTAGAGGTAATGGTCTAGTCAACGCATATTTAATGTTAAGGAGTTATGAATGATGGAGTTAAGAGATAAATTGACACTACAGGAAAATCATCAATTACCCGAGGATTTCTGACGAATTTGTAATCTATATATATAACACATTTTTCTTTCTAACAAAAGGGTTGAGTGCTTGAAAATTTTTCCGGTTGTGGTTTGAATCCCACAGGCATCACGCCGCAGGCGGGCTAGTAGGTGTCAACGTTGGGCAGGGCTGGTGGGTGGCTACTGATGTTTTTTTTTTTAATTATTATAGCAGTTTTTTTTTTCACCAAAAAATTTTTCCCACACAGTTTTAATGATTGAAAATTTTCCGTAAAATTCCAAATCCGCCCGAAAA